TGATCCTGCCTACATGAGCAAGCCTCCACAAAAATCCGAGTAGTATGGGATTCAAAGAGCTTCCCCATCTATGCTGGGAAGGTGACACAGCCCAACTCCACAGGGACAGAAGCTACTGCATTCAGGACCTTCCAGACCTCACCCTATGTAGCTCTTCATTTGGCTGTTCATCTTTATCCTTTACATTATCTTTTATTATATAATAAATGGATAAATTTGTTTCCCTGAGTTCTGTGAGTCTATCTAGCCAGTAATCAAATCCAAGAGGTAGGAGGTCATGGGAACCTCACATTTGTAACCAAGTCAGGCAGAAGTTGTGAGTAACCTAGGGACCTACTACTTGAGATTGGCATCTGAAGTGGGGGACAATCTCATGGGACTGAACCCTTAACCTGTGGTAGCTGATTCTGTCTTCAGGTAGATAGTGTCAAAATTAAATTAAATTGTAGGAAACCCAGCTGGTGTCACAGAATTGCTTGTTGGGAAAACATCTGGTTCCAGAGTGTTGTGAGTGTGATCATGGTGTGAGTGTAAAAGAGAAACACAGGAAGGAAAATTGAGTTTTTCCTAAACACCTATACCTTGGTTTATTCATTTAATAATAAATCAGAAGTATTTCCATGTCAGCACATACAGATCTTCCAAGGTGTTTTAATCATTGAATATGCCATAATTTGTTTAGCCACTGACCCATTAATGAATATTTAAATCATTTCCACTTACTATTATAAACATGTTTCCATGAGTAGCCTTATACAGTGTCATTGGGAACTCACATGATTCCATCTGTAGGATAAATTCCTCTGACTGAAATTGCTACATCAAGATATATGTTTAAAATTGGGCACGGTGCTCCCAAATTGTAACCCCAAAATAGTTGTAATCTACATTTTCATCAACAGTGTAAGTTCACGTATGCCCTTGCCAAACTGAGTTTTATCAAACTTACAACTTTTTATAATAGGTAAAAATGGTGTCAGATTGTTGTGATTTGCACTTTTAAAAGCATTAATGAAATGTAGTGTTTTTTTCCCAATAGTTTCTACCATTCTTATTTGTTCATATTCTTTGCCCATTTTTCTGTTCATTTTCCCCCCCATAAAACTGAAAGATCTTTATGTAAAAAGAAATAAGCACTTTTTTCCCTGGGCTACAAATAATTTTTTTCTTCTGTGCCATTTGTCTTTTGGCTCTATCTACAGTGTTTTCTTGTTATTGTTGTTGTATCTGTTTTTACCATACGAAAGTTTTAGCTGTTTTACACCAAAATATAAACAGCATTTTCCATTTTAATTTCTGAGTTTTGTCTGTATTTTCAGTAGTAGCTCTTTTGTAAGACGGGTCTTTTTAGAGTTGCCACTTTAATGCACCAGGACTTGATTTGAATTCCACAACAGCATATGGTACAGGTTGAAAAATTATGTTTTACTGTGGAAAGAGGAAGCCTATAAAGTCAAGGTCATTAAGAGAAAGGAGAGCAGAAAGACCCCATCCTTATACTGTCCCTGGCTGACCTGCTGGCCTCACAGAATGGTATGTGTTCCGGAGAAGGGAACTCTGCCCCTCTTTTGGCCTCCTTTTTGTATACAGCAAGTGTGAGAGTAGCCTTATCCTGAAAGAAATAATCAGACTATCTTGGCACCAGACAGCCTGGATTTTGGTGCCAGCTGTTTATCAGAGTTATCTGGGAAACACAAGCTGCCCAGCACCTTGACTTTTGGTCCTATGGGATGTTACACAAGAGAAAGGACGCCAGTGGTCCCATGGGAAGCTGAGCTTGTGTACAGTTCCACAGGCTGGGAGAAGCCCCCCTTTTCCCACCCCAACCCTCTATACCTGCTTTGAGCTAGCTCATTGTCCAGGCAATACAGAATGAGCACCCAGATCATTTAGAACAAGCCTGCTCTCTGCAGCACAATGAATTAGTAAGACAATGGATATGATATTAACTCTTTGACCCCCCCCACTTTCTATTTTGGAAATTTTCAGATTCAAAAGGTCAAAAGAATGATATAATGAATGCCCCTATACTCTTCATCTAAATTCACCATTTGTTTACATTTTGTCACCTTTGCTGTATTTCTTTTTATAAACACATTTTTATCCATTGAAGCATTTGAAACTAAGTTGAATACTTCATGATAGTTCACTCAGAATAATTCAGCATTTATCTCCCTAAAAATAAAGCCATTTTCCTACATAACTGCAATACCATTTTCAGACCTAAGGAAAATTAATGATTCAATATCATTAATTCCACATTCAAATTTCTCTAATTATCCCAAAGTCTTTTATAACTATCTTTTTTGTTTGGTCCAAAATCTTAACAAGGTCCATACATTGTATCTGAATCTGTCCCTCTAGTTGCGTCCCGAGGTGGACATTTTGCAATGACTGGAGCTATTCTGATCATCATGACCAGAGGTGCTACTGTCATCTAGTGGATAGAGACAAAGGATTCCTGCTAAATGCAATAAACAGGACAACCTCTCACAGCAAAGAATTATCTGGCCCGGGATTCAAAAACCTTGTTCGGGTCTATCTAGAACAGTCTCCTCACTTTGTTGTTTCTCTGGACACTGACTTGCAGTGTCCAGACCAGTTGTAATGTAAAATGTTCCACACTATTCTGCTAATTGTTTCCTCATGATTGGTTGCCATTTAAATGTACTTGGCAAGAATATTACACATAGATTATTGCAACAGTTAGCTATTACTGCTAACAACTCACCCCAAAACTCAGTGGCATTATTTTAACAGCCATTGGCTACCTAGTTCTCCTGATCTGGGCTGGGCTCTCCTGATTTCGGCTAGACTCATTCATGAATCTGCAGTCGTTTGGCAGATTGACTGGGTGCTGGCTGGACTAGGATGACCTCAGCTGATATGACTGGGCTCAGCTCCATTCATCTATCACACTTAGCAGGCTATCCCTGGCCTGTTCTCATGGAAGAGGCAGGGGGCTGAAAGAAAGTGAATGTGTGCAAGGTTTCTGGAGGCCTAGATTTACTGGTACTCATGTCACTTTAACTGCATTATGTTGGCCAAAGAAGGTAACAAAGCCAGCCTAGATTCAAATGATAGAGAAATAAACTCTACCACTTGATGGGAGTTACCTCAAAGTCACATTGTAAGCGGGTAGATAAGAGAGGGAAAGAATCTGGGCCTATTGCAATCAGTCTATCAAAATGATATTGTGAACCTCTTACTGCATCATATCAGGAGGTAGATTATGTCACGTTGTCCCTCTATTAGTGATGTTAAGTTTGATACCTGATTAAATGGTAACTTCAGTTCAGCCTCCATCTTCATATGGCATTCTCCTGTGACTCTTTGTCACATAACCATCTTCTTATAAAGGTCCCAGCTATATTGAATTAGGGTCCCATCCTATTCCAGTCTGACCTCAATTACATCTGCAATTCTTAAGCCTCATCATTTCTTCAACATTTAAGTTGGCATTCTTTCATAAAGAAGGTCTTATTTTCCCATTTCTCACCCATCTCCTTTCCTTCCTCCCCCAGCTTTTTAAATCATTGGGTGTTGCTTTTTCTTTTTATACAGCCATGCAAACAAATCTTTGGCAATGAGACAATGCCAAATTGTCTCAGATTTGTCCAGCAAGAGCCCGAAAGTCAACTCTTAATGAAGAAAAGCACAATAAGTATTTAAACTTTTATTAAATGTGACATTTTTTTTAAAAAAATCTGACATTTACCGCTAATCTATCTCAGAGGACCTACTTCTGCTGTCCAGATAAGTCAGTTTATATTTTTCTTCCTGGGGTGAACATATGATTATTTCCCATGAGAAAAGTCTCATCATCATTCATAAGAAAAAGCTGTCATCTATTGAATATACTGTTTTACATATGTTATTTTAATTGTCATAATTCTACGCCTAAGCAATGTTACTACATATTACAAATGAGAAATCTGAGATTTAAAGTGAGCTACTGAAAAGAACATGGATTTGGCAAACTCGGTTTGAATCCTATCTCTGTCACTTATTAGGTATGTGATTTGGAGCCTCTCTAGGCCTTGGTTTATTTATCTTTACTATGGCAATAATGATATTTGCCTCACAGGTTTGAGCCCAGTAGCTTATTTGATATAGAGTAGGTGTTTATTAGTTCTCTTCTTTCAGTATCCCGATGAAAGGCCATGACTTCTACGTCATGTTGGATAAATAACAATGCCACAGAGTCCACTAGCAAGCAATCAGTAGTTGATCAATCTCATTAATTCTCATTAGGGATTAAAGATAGCATGACCTAAGTTTCAGCTAAAGCTTACCTTTAAATATCTTTAGGGGAAAAAAAGTCTCCTAATCAATTTCTTAATACTATGGGAAGGAGATCGTATCTATTCAACTTAAGAGAACGACTTTTAGGGAGATCTTTTGTATTTTGCATACACATTGGGAGGCTTATATACAAATCAATCTTCAAAACAGACTAAACTTTGTTCATCTGAAAACTGTGCATTCATTCATCCCACAAATAGTATTGAGCACCTACTATGTCCCATACAATGTTCCAGGCCTGTGGGATACATCAGAAAATAAAACAAATATCCCTGCTCTCATTTATCTTCTAGTTGTGGGAGATAGAAGAAAAACAAATAGATTTGCAAATTATATAGAGTATTAGAAGCAGGTAAGTACTAATGAGAAAAATTAATGAAGTGGGGGTGTACAGGAGGGGATTGCAATTTTAAATAGGGTTGTCATTGTTTAAAAGGTGCTATTTGAGCAAAGACTTGAAAGAGGTGAGTAAATTGGTCATGTGGCCATCTGGGAGAACAACAAATACAAAGGCCTTTGGGCAGGAGTGTGCTTGGAGGCCAGGGTGGCTGGAGTGCAATGAATGAAGGGAAGTATTTTATTTATCTAAAAACATTCAAATAGCCCTCACTAGTAACATTTTTTTAAGCACTTAAAAATTATTAACTAATCCTCCCAACAACTATATGAAGTACATACTTTTTTTTCTTTTCCAGATGTGGAAACTGACACACAGGATGGTTAAAAACTGCCCCCAAATCACATAACTGTCAAGTGATAGACCTGGGACTGGAGCTCAGGTAATCTGCTACTAGAGACTTTCAGTGCTTTTAAGCACCAAAGCATGCTGTACTGCTTCCTAGCAGTTAAAAGATGAGGTCCAGTAATGGGGGGCTGGCTCCCATAGGTCATTAGAGGCCATTGGTAAGAATTTTGGTTTTTATTTTGCATGATATGAATTTTGAACAGAAGAGTAATATGTGTTTGTTTTTGTTGTTGTTCCAGAAATTTCCAAAGCATTTATATACTTTAAGGATATATTATTCTTAGCATTTAACATGCTTGTGTAAATTCAAAAGGATTTCTATTTATGGGAACAAAGAAAAGTTATGTATAATTGAGAAATGATATTCCATCAAATACCTTTTGTATAATCTTAATCTATTTTTTTAAAGTCTTTTAAGAACCTCTTTATTGTATGAATCTAGCAACATTAAGTACTTTCTTGGGGCACCAAGGCACGGTTTTGACCAAAAAAATTTGTTTCCTACAAAGGAAAGGTTAAAAAAAGGGTGGGGGGGTGTAAAAAAATTATAGGGAAAATATCCTATATAAAATATGTCCTGTCTGCATACTAAAGCTAATGGGTTAGTGCAGCTGCCTTCTTGGGCTTAATGTGTCAGCACCCTATAGAGGGACTCACACCTTCACTGGGGCTCCATGACCTCAAGTGTGGAGTGATCCAGTGGCAGCTGCCCTTGAGAGTAACTAAAGGGCTCAGGCTCGAGCCACCCACCCTGCTCAAGGAGCATTTAGGAGCAGCACAGGCAGAGTCAGTCTGGAGAAAAGAAAGCATTCAGAAGATTACACAGTCACCCAGGAATGCTATTAATGATCATAACTGTCACAATTTATTTAGCATTTACTGTATGCCTAGCATCATGCCAAATGCTTTACAAGCATGAGCTATATAGCATCATCATCCCTATGCTATGAGTAAAGAAACTAAGGCTTAAAGAGATTAAGTAAATTGTCCAGGATCATATACAGCTGTAACTAAAGCCAGCTCTGCCAGTCTCCAAAGCCCGTATTCCTACACATTTATTCTATGCTGTCTAGGAATATAATTCTCTAGGAATATAATTCCTTCTGTAACCCTCAAAACACTTTTTCTGGAGATGATTCCAGTTCTGAATTTCCAACTGCCCTGTTGGACATAACAGCAAGTTTCAGCCTTAACCTTTCTTCTACTATTCAGTATATCAGATACATCTTATATGCCTCATCAGATTCTCTTGTTATTGTCTCTGAAGTCCTCAATTTCTTATTCTGTCTCCACCACTACTGCAACTTTCTGTGTTTGGGCCCACGTAGTCCCACTACCTGGGGCTGAAGCTTCTCTGCCATTTTCCATCCCAGCCCTACCCCTTGACTGCCAGTGAGCACCAGGCTCACCAGCTATATGCAGTGAGTTTCTGGCTTCTCTCTCTACTCCCCAAGCAGAACTAAAGGCCATTACATAAAGCACTGGCTATGTCTTGCTGTGAGACTAACAATGGGAACATACGACATAACCTAGAAGTATGAGGAAAGTAACTCCTGGTGTGGTGGAATTTGATTAGTGGGAATAGGAGATTGGAGGGAACATGAAGATGGAGTCCTTTTCCTTTCTCCCTTCCAAGAACTTACCGAGCATGTTTTCACCTTAGAGCATGTCTGGAGATACTCTGCATGGACATGCAGGCATACCTACTGCCTCTGCAGATTGTTCAAGCATTGTCTTCCATTGCTACCCCTCTTTCTCTGTCTCTCTTCCCTTTTTCTCTCACTCTTACGACCCTGAGATTGCATCTTCTAAATAAAATATTAGCATTAATTCTTGGTTTGAGTTCTGTTTTTCTAGAAAACATAGGCTAAGATTTCCAAGCTCAATTTCCTAAATTCCCTTGGCTCAAAGCCAAGCTTCTAAGAGTGTATACCAAAAGATAATAATTACAGATAATAATTCTATTAGTTCTATCAGTATACCTGATAGAATTAATGTATTGCCTTCAGAAAGGTACAATTTATTTGGGAGAAAATAAAAATAATTGAAAGGATCCTTGGTGGTAAAAAAATTTTGAAGCAGTAGCTCAAAACTAGCCTCCATCCCAAATCCACTCACATCCTGATTATAATTAGCTTTTCCCTTCCTTTTCAGTCCTACTCTGGTTTGGGTTGCCTTTCTTGCTTGAACTGTTTATGAAAGTTTCCTAATTTGTCTTTCTCACTGCCCATAGATTGTTATGATCTACATTATCAACTTTAATACCAACTATAGAATTTCTCTATTTGGATTATACCACTGGCTATTCTGGGCTGCTTGCTTTTCCCAAACACGCATTATGCTTTTCTGAGATCACCATGCCTCTGCTATTAAAATGGACAACAGAAGTACATGTAGGTTTTGATACCCACCCTGGAAGAATCAGAATGCCTGCCACACTTATAACCACCTCCTAGGGATTGCTAATAGACAGGATACCAAATTATGTATCAACTTATTCTGTCATTTCAAACAAAACCTTGTTCAGGAGCAGACACCTAACCTAGGGCAATAAACCTGTGCTGATATGCTAGCTCACCAGAACGGTCTTCCTAACAACCTGTCATTGATGATGAGCAGCCAAACCAGTCAGGTCCTTTGGGGGAGTTAAATATGAATTACAGAGAGGAAGTCAGCAGTTAGCAATGGTCAGAAGCTGGAAGATGGACAGAAAGAAGGAAGAAAGTTGAAGTTATGTGGCAGCAGAAACCATGAGGCAGCAGAAACTATGAGATGGAGAAAAGGAATACAAAGTACTTAGTAGCAAGGGCAGCAGAAGCAGAGAGTCACAATAATAGCAGATAATTAGAGTACAAAGCAGCAGATGTTTACTGCGAAGAGCCCACAAGATAACCCAGCTGTTACGTCTGTATTGTGTGCTGAATCACCTTCCAGTTCCCACTGGTCATTACTTAACTAAGGCAACCTGAGTCTGTCTGCTCTGGAAAATTAAAATTTTGTTTTCTGGTCTCTATAGCAGTCCAGACCATGGCAGGAAACTGAAGGTACACTCAGTTGGGATTTTGAAAATAATTTGATGAAGACACTATTTATAATGATATAAGCAGGGTTTGGGGAACGTAAAAGGAATATTGAGGCACCCAAGGACTAGCAAGAGAGGAAGCCCAGGGATGAAGGGACAAAGGAAGAAATTGTGTTATGGGAGCCCAAAAAGAACTAGAGCTGTGAATGGGGCATGGCTACTGCCAGAACCATGGTGCTGGAATGGGGAGGAAAGAAGAAACACCTCAGCCTCTTTTTCCTCCCACCCTCTGATACCTGCTGATGCCTCCCATTGGGCAAACACAACCGTGAGCCATAGGGCAGTGGAGCCCAGGTGCTGTCAGCTGTGGGTAACAGCTTGATGGGGCACAGAGCAGGGCAGAGGATAGGCGGCTGTCATGGGCTGACTAATGTTCCCTCCAAAACATATGTCCACATGCTAAAAACTTGATAATATCACATTATATAGCACCAGAAGTGATTAAATTCAGGATCCTAAGAGGAGGTGCTTATCTTAGATTACTTGGGTGGGCCCTAAATGCTATCATATGTATCCTAATAAAAGTGAAGCAGGGAGAATTTTGACAGAGAAGAGAAAAAGGCAGTGTGACAGAATCAGAAATTGGAGTGAAGTGGCCACAAGCCAAGGAAAGCCTGGAGCCATCAGAAGCTGGAAGAGGTGAGGAACAGACTCTTCAGAGGGAGCATGACCCAGCCAAAATCTTGATTTTGCTCTTCCAGCCTCTAGTACTGTGAGAAAATAAATTCTGTTCTTTTAAGCCACCTAGTTTGTGGTAATTTATTCTGATAGTCACAGAAAAAGTAATATAGGGCTAAGTGGAGAATGACCAGCACAAAGCCTATTCATCTTGAATGCCATGTTGACCGTGATGAAGTACCTGACCGCCTTGGCTGGAAGTTCTGTTGCCTACCTTCTGTATTCCCTTTAGAACTTCTTTTTTGGACCACTCATATGATTCAAATTAAATGCTCCCAAGTTATAGTTTCTTTTGAATACAAACATCTTTTCATCTAACCAGATTATAACATTCTTCTTTAGAAGAAGAACCTTGTTGTACATTTTCGTATCCCACAAAAATACTAACACAGTACTTTGAACAGACTGGACATTCTGTAATTGGTAAATGAAAAAGAAAGCTTCCATTTGTCCCCCTATAAATGGAAAATAACAATTTCCACTGACTTGCTTTTCAGAGATAATAATGGCAGTGTTTCCTGGAAACAATTTCTGTACCTGTAACAGAATGATATATCTGAAACACCCATTCCTGCTGGAGCAATTCCTCAGGAAAAAAAATTACATCTAGTTTTAGCATGTCCTCTATTCCATGTGGAGCTGAAACTGTTTGCGGTTTCACCCCTAGGAGGAAAAGATGGAATAGTTAAGAAAATATAAGAGCTGAGTATTGGTGTTTTTGCAGTAACTGATTCATCCAATAAATGTTTATCAAAGGACTGTTATGTTAAAGTACAATCCATAAATACTAGGAAAACCCACACACACACACACACACACGGAATAAGGCATGATCCCAAGTAAGTAATTGTCATGTAATATGATGAATACTTTTTATAAGAACAAAATACTATGGGACCAGAAAGAAGGGAATGATTAACTCTATTGATGGGAGTTTCACCAAAAAGTTGCATTCAAGCTGGTCTTTAAGGACTCCAGGCAGAGAGAAGCAAAGTCAAGAGCATTTGGGGACCAAGAGAAATAGCTTTGCCTGAGTTGTTGCCAAGCCTACCACACCCTCAGCTCAGCCCTATTTTATCCACAAGGATCTGTTTTTATTCATTATCCTCATAGCTACTTTTAAGAGAGAAAGAGAATGCTGAATAGTACTTCCTGTTTTACATCAGAGGTTGACTTTTGACAAGTCTAATAATGACAAGTCCAAATAGCCATCCAATAATTAGTTAACAGACATTTTACCTTTCCTGAGCTTCTATCTCATTTCTGAAAACTGTGAGAGTGTGTTGTACAGCCGCATGAATAGCTCAGAGGAATGCAGGTGAGGAATGAGAGCACCCTCTGGTCTCATTGCCCCAAGCCAGGAACCATTTCTTCATGGCAAAGCCCTTGGAATGGGAACTATGGCTGAAGCCCTTTCTCTTCCCCCAGGCTGACCTTCAGATTACTCCTTCAGGAATAGCCCTGTCTGGGACACCGCCCAACTTCCCTCGCACGCCAACCCTGCTAGGCCTCTGAGACCAGAGCTGCACTGCTTGCGAGTAGGAGAAAACTCGGGAAAGCAGCCAGTGGGGGAGGAAAGACCAGCCTAAGCCCACCAAGGGGCAGAGGGTTCCCCATCCTCACCCAGTGGCTTCCACTGGAAAATGGGGAAGCTGGGAAATCAGATTTCAGCCTTAAAATACATATAACTTGTCCTTGTTTTCTCAAGAAGCCTTCACCTTCCAGACCTTGCCAGGAAGCCGGCGGCATTTTCTTGAAGCAGTAATAACAAGGACAGAGCGTTCTAGCCTGCTGGAGCCTGCTGGCTGGTCACTCTTTCCACTGCCTTTTGTTTTCATGCATCATTCCCTCACTTGCTTCTCAGATTCCTCAGGGCTTTGAAAAGCCACAAATGCTCTACACAGTGACACCACCCAGTAGGCTGGCAAACATCACTAACATGTACCCTGCCCTAAGTGATAGCATGTATGCAAGCCCTGACAACTGACACCAAATTGTACACCTGGTGAGGTGCAAGACAGCTTCTAAAAAGTAACTCTCCCCCCAGTAAGCCTAGCTGGTAAAGGTGGACTTTAGATTAAGTACCACCCAAAGAACTGGTAAATCACATATTCCTGTTTGATTTAAAATGTGTCTGCAAGGTACTTTGGGCAGTGGTACTTCTCTACCCTTTCCTCAAGGATCTAAATGCAGCCAACATAGTTGTTATCAGCAAAATGCTAGAGCACTCTCACTCTGCCAGTTCACATATCAGTATTAGATTGTATATGTACATACACAAGAGCAGAGGCTCTCAAAACACCTGTGGCCTGTTTCAAACCACATTCCGGAGCTGCCCTACCATTGAAAATAGGACACAGATATGTGTTTTAAAAAGTTGATAGTGTTGATTAGAATGTGTGAAAGAGAAATTCTCATATATCTTAATGAGAGTAAAAATTAGTTCAGCTATTGTGGAGCGTAATCTGGAGAGCAATCTAGTGAAGTTGAGTATGTGTATATTTATTCTCTAGTAATTTCCATTTAGATAAACTCCCTAGAAGAATTCTCACACATGTGCCCAAGGAGGCACATCACAAGACATTAATTATATTATGATTTGAAATAGCAAAAAATTAGACATAATAAATATCCATCCACAGAACAGATTCTAGAATATTTATATGATGGGATCATATTGTAGCACTGTATAATATAATATTGTTATAATAAAAAATGGACTGGCTGTACAAGTACCACATGAATGAACCTCAAACACATGATGGGAAAACAAGTTTTGGAAAAATCTGTCTACTATATACATATTTAAACACTCAAAACATATATACTGTGTAGTAAAAATATAAAAAACATGGGAAGAATTCCCACCATCATCAAGAGATTAGTTACCTCTGGGGAAAGATGGAATGAAACAGCTTTCTTAACTAAAATTTTTTTTCTTTTTTAAAAATCTTAAGCAAATATGGCAAGCTGTTATAATTTATTAAATCTGGATACTGGATATAAGTCCCACCAGTGACTCTAAGAGTCATCCATAGCAGAAGGATCTTTTGAGATTTTTAGGACTCTCAAATACTAAAAATAAAAGTTTGTTAATGGGAATGCTCAGAAATGTGGCAGAATACAAGATCAATATAAAAAATCTATTGTGTATCTATACATTAGCAATGAGCAATCTGAAAATGAACTTCAGTGCAGTCCCTATCCAAATTCCAGCTTTTTTATTTTGCAGAAATTGACAGGCTGATTCTATAATTCATATAGAAATGCAACCCAGAATAGCTAAACATTTTTGAAAAAGAAGAAAAAAGTTGGAAGATGCACACTTTTCCAAATTCAAAACCTACAACAAAACTACAAGAATCAAGACACACAGCATAAGGATACACATATAGATCAGTGGAACAGAATCAATTGTCCAGCGATAAACCCTCACATTTATGGTCACCTGATTTTTTTGACAAGAGTTCCAAGACAATTCAATAGGGAATGAATAGATTTTTTCCCCAATAAATGGTGCTGAGACAATGGGATATCCACATGAAAAAGAATGAAGTTGGACATACCTCAGACCATACAAATAAATTAACTCAAAATGGATTATAGACCTAAATGTAACGGTTAAAACTATAAAACTCCTAGAAAAAACCATAGGAGTAAATCTTTATGACCTTGGTTTTGGCAATGGTTTCTTAGAAATGTCACCAAAAGCAGAAGAAACAAAACAATAGATAAATTGGACTTCAAAATTAAAAACTTTTGGGCTTCACAGGACACCACTAAGAAAGTAAAAGGAAACTCACAGAATGGGAGAAAACCTTTGTAAATCATGTATTTGGCAAGGAACTTATAACCAGAATATAAACCTATTCAACTCAATAATAAAATGACAACCCAGTTAAAAATGGGCAAGGAATTTGAATAAACATTCCTCCAAAGAATATATACATATTGGCAATATGTACAAGAAGCGATATTCAACATCATTAATCTAATCATTAGGAAAATGGAAGTCAAAGCCACAGTGAGATACCTCTTCATACCCACAAGGATGATTACAGTAAAAACAGGTAATAACAAGTGTGGGTAAGAATATATAGAGAGAAGTTGGAACACTCATATATTGCTGGTGGATATGTAAAATAATGCAGCCACTTTGGAAACAGTTTGGCAGTTTCACAAAATACTGAACACGGAGTTACCAGATTACTCAGCAGCCCCATTCCTGAGCATGTACTCAAAAGAAATGAAATCGTATCTCCTCGTGAAAACCTGTGCATGAATATTCATAGCAGCATTATTAAATCATTAAAAATCATTTATAAATGTAGACAATCTATGTCCATAAACTGATAAATGGATAAACAAAATGTGATAAATCCATACAATGGAATATTTTAAGCCATAAAAAGAATGAAGTACTGATAGATGCTACAATATGGGTGCACCTTGAAAACATTATGCTAAGAGAAAGAAGCTGTTCACAAAAGACCACATATAGGTAAGATCTTCAAGAGGTAATTAAATTAAAATGAGGTCTTTAGGGTTGGCTGTAATTTAATATTACAGCCTCATAAGAAGACTGGCAGCCTCAAAAGAAGAAGAAACTTGGATGCCCAGAGAGACACCAGGGCTGCACATGCACAGAGAAAAGACCATATGATGATACAGCAAGAATGTGGCCAGGTGCAAGCCAACAAGAGAGGCCCCAGGAGAAATCAAACCTGCTGACACCTTAATATTTACTGCTAGCCTCTAGCACTGTGAGAAAATCTCTATTGTTTAAGCCTTCAGGCTATGATATTTTGTTATGGCAGCTGTAGCCAACTAATACAGTGGTTCCTTTGAGTATGTAACAATGATGTGGTATATGAGAAAAGCATATGCTTTGAATTACTGCATTTTGCAGAATGGCATTTTCTGATCACTTGTCATCAATTGTTAGAAACATGAGAACTATCCAAAAGTTCAAGTACTGTGCAGTAGTTACCGTGCACAGGCACAGTAGACTTCTGGCCTTTGAGGATACCCTGTTCATCAACCTGAGAGAAAGTAAATACTTAGAAGAAGACCCTCAGGATTTTCATAAATTGGTAGAGAGTGATCCAGATGTGCTTAAAACCAGGGAAGATGTCATTAAAAATGATGTTTAATTACTGAGAACTTTTAATAACATGGGAAAATGATTATATTATAATAAGTAAAAAATTCAGCATGCAAATTTAACACATACGGATAAAATCACCGTATCTGTGTAACAATATGGATAGAAAAAAGACTGAATAGAAATACAAAGTTAAGATTAGTTATTCTTTGTGGTAAGAATGAAACTCACTTAGTATTTAGTACCCTTTTAGTATTTAGTACCTTTTTAACTCTCACAATAAACAGCCTTTATGAGCAACCAAGGCGATATTTTGGTCTCCATCTACCCACTCTTTTGTTTCATTTCTCACCTGGACCAGAACCCAGGATGGATTTGTAGGAAAAGAATGTTATCAATGGGAACTCCTCAGAGACCTGAAAAGGAAATAACTCCTGTTTAGAGCCAACTATGTGCCCAGCATGAAGAGAGGAGCTTTACATAACTTAGTTTATTTAATCCCCACAACCACCCCTGAGTAGTTTACATTGTTTTCTCATTTCACCTAAACGGAAACTGA